TCTATTCTTGTCTTGAACAACAGTCAGTGGTTGTAAACCGAGTTGTGTTTTCAGGATCATACTTTCATCTCTTCCTCAAATAGTATAAAATAACATCAATTTGCTGCAAAAAAATACTGTACATAATTTCTCAATACTTCAGACATTTTATAAACAAAATTTAAACAAAATATCTACAAATATTTAAAAAATACAAAACTTTAGCTTATAATTATATATCGAGGTATGAACGAACCGTGTCTTTCAGGATTTGTCCAGGATGTGCCAAAGTATAAAAACAGTCCTTTCCATCAACTTTCTCCACTCCAAGATCAAACAACGAGTTGAGCATGTTATCTTTTACAATATAAGGCGCCTTCTTCCTATTTAAAGGCATAGAAAAACCAATTAAAATGTAATGGCAAATGAAAATCCATAAATTCTATGCCCTCCATAATATGAAAAAAGTGTAGAAACTAACCTCCTTGAAACTGCATCGGTCCCAAAATATAACCACCGATTGAATTCTTTCAACAAATTAGGATCAACATTATCACCAATAACCCCTGCAAATGGATGCTTGATGTTGAAAATTGGGGGACCAACAAGTCGGGATTCTAGTATTGAATTGATTGATAAGTATATATCCCCACATTTAAATACTCTTCCGAATTTATATTATTATTTTTATGGTAAGAAAAAATATAAAAACACGAAGGGTGATGCCATGCCAATTTCACATTATTATTTATTGAATTATGAAGTGAGGAAGAGAGTTAAAGCACGAAGGGTAATGCCGTGCCATTTTTAAAGAGTGTAAAAGTACGAAGGGTGATGTCGTGCCAGAAGAGAGTTAATGCACGAAGGGTGATGTCATTCCCAAAAGAGAGTTAAAGCACGAAGGGTGGTGTCGTGCCAATTATTATTATTTATTTATCAAATTATGGGAGGAATGAGAGTAAAAGCACGAAGGGTGGTGTCGTGCCATTTTCATATTATCAGTTGCTCATTTTATTGTTGATGAATTAATTGGCTGCTATGTGGCACTTCTTCTGCTGAAATTCCTATATCATTCCCCTTCGCATGTTCCCTCCCAAATTTATAAAATATTATTTATTGTATTATTGTTGTTTCGTATTTGTATATACGTGTACATGTTATTTACGTATATGTCTTGTCATAGCCTCGTCACTACTTCGTCGAGGTTAGGCTCGACACTTACGGAGTACATGGGGTTGGTTGTACTCATACTACACCCTGCACTTCTTGTACAGATTTTGGAGTTGGTCCCAACAGCATATCATAGACTTGCTCGGATTCAGTTACCCAGAGGAGACTTGAGATATAGGTGCACAACATCTGTAGTTCTGAAGTCCCATTCTATCTTATCTTAGTAGTGTATTATCTTTCAAACAGCTTAAATTTTATTCAAACCTTTATTTGTATTATCCTAGTAGCTCGTGCACTTGTGACACCAGATTCGGGGATGTATTTTGATGATTTGGTAGTTATGGTCTTCCGCACTTTATTTCAGTAATTGACTTTTATTTTATTTTATTTGTTTAAAAATGGTTAAGGTTATTCTAATGTTGGCTTGCCTAGCAAATGAAATGTTAGGCGTCATCACGGTCCCGAAGGTAGGAATTTCGGGTCGTAACAAAAATTTACCCTGATCCAGGATGGTTTGATCATCCCCCCTTCCAATGCAGAAATCCATATCTTGTCCAGTTAAGGATACGGGGGATCAAAATTCCAACCCTTTACAGCAATATCTGTGTTAACTGTAGAGCAACACTCATACAACCAGATTTGCATAGCGAGGGGAAAACCTCGATGAATATAAAAATGCACATATTGGTTCAACTTATGCCTAACAGACTGAACCAAATGTGTATAAGCATCTATACCCCATGCGAAATTCGCATACTGCCCCGAGTCAGCCAATTAGAACTGAAAGTGGTCTATCAAACCATTCTCTTTCTCTGAAGGACAAAGGAAGAACTCTATAAGATACAGAATATATAGCTTGACTGCATCCTCATCATTCACCCAACTACAACTACAGACAATTTGTTTCAGGTACGACTTCTCAACTTTTTCCTTGTTCGGAAAATAACTCATTATTATTTTACTATCATTTTTAGGGTTGTACCCAAAGTCTGTTACTTCTATAACACATTTGAGGCCGATTATAATAGCAAATTCCCTCAGTCCAATGTTCAGCCTCTGACCCTTTATCGTCTCTGCTGAAAAAAATCGGACCTAGATGTGTTCTATTCATACTTTATCAGAATGTGAATTGCCTGATTTTGGATACATATTTTGGGCATGCCAAGAAAGTGCCCAAAATATGTCTTCTTAAATAATTTTTTCCCCTTATCAGATAATAATACCTTGATTTGGGTAGGAACAACAGGGTCAGATAATGTTTGAAACCTAGTGATGCCATAATCAACATCATGTGGTACAAAAAAAATGTCTGATTCTGCATGAAAAGAAAAAATAAGTTAATAAAACATATTTAAAGACAAAAAAATAAATATAAGAACAATACTGCTACAATTTATCTACAGACAAAATGACAATAATACGTTGCAGATAATTAAATGGCAAATTCAAAAACAAATAAAATAATTAAACTACAATGCAGCTACAAAAAACTGACAGTCCTATATTTACACAAAATGTAGACAATGTATTAACAAAAACACATATTTCAAATATTATACAATAAATCTGCAATTGAAAAAGCAATAACATTGCTACAATTTATATACAAGCAAACGAAATTAATACATTGCAGACAATTAAATGGCAAATTCAAAAAAAATAAAACAATTAAACTAACAACTTGTTTGGAAGGTTGTTACCCATTGTATCGTATTGTATTATTATCCCATAACAATGTTTATTTTGATTGTTTTATTAAAATTGATTGTATTGTATTGTTAAATCTATTGTTCCAGAACAAAGAAAAGTCCTATTTTTTAAAATAACCGATTTGGTGTGGTGGGATTGTTTCCTATTTTTCTTTCCAATTATGCCTTAACTTATTACTACATAATTCTATTTTACCCTTTACCTTTTTTATTTTAACTCCAAATCTCCAACCTATAACCTACTTTGTCTTCGTCCTTTTTTTTTTTCCAGAACTTCTGCCGCTTCCAACTATAACGTCAAAGATGTTTTACCTTCTTTTGTTTCGTTTTTTCTCCTAATTTGATTTTATCTCCAATTCTAATTATCTTTGTTCTGCCAATTCTCGTTCCTTTTTTTATCATAGTTCTTTAACGTTTTATTTTATATTTTATTATTATTATGACCTAGTTAGGAATGGAGTGTACTTATTATTATTATTTTTAATAATATTAACTTGTTCCACTGATTTTGTTAGAATTTACATGAATTTAATTGCTTAATCTATTTATAAGACATATTTTGTGATAAATTAGTAGAAACAAATTTTCTTAAATTATTTTTATGCGTAATTCTTGATAAATTTAATATTTAAATAATTGAGGGTATTTTAATAAACTTATCAGTTATAGTACAGTATAATACAGTCAAACCAAACAACAAAATATTATGTAACAACAGCAGACGATACAATCTATCCAAACGTTGTATTTATAAAATGATACGATACGATACAGTATAATACAATACAATATATTATAAAACGATGGGTAACAATGATCCAAACAGAGTGTAAATGCAGCTACATAAAACTAATAGTCCTCTGTTTACACAAAATATATTGAACAAGAAAACTACAATGTAACCTACATTTAAAATATTGGGTTGGGGGGAGGGGGGAAGGAATAACTCCTAGACACAATATCTACAATTTGTTTACAAGAAATACAATATCTACAAGAGAACAAAAATTAACAAATAAAACAAACTACGTCATGAAATACATACTCTAAATAAAATTATTTCAAATATTATACAACAAATCTGCAATTGCAAAAATATTTAGAAAAATTTGTAAACAACAAGATATATATACAATATAGACAAAATTTCTACAATAAAGGAACAAGAAAAAATGGTATTAAGATGAGCATGAAAATAATTTTTTACTAAAAATAAAAAATAAATATTGTAATTATTACAATTTTACCTTGTCTAAAGACTGTTGGGGTATGTGTTTAGGAGATTTATGAACCTTCTTCCTTTTTGAAGGTTTGGGAATTACTTTTTCATCCACGAAATCGTCATCACCGGCGATTTCGTTGTACTTCCATTTTACTGATTTAGCAAATGACGATCCGTCAGTAGCATCCCTGTCATGCTTCAATTTCTTTTCGCACCTCTGCCCTAGCTTCACGAGGGGGTAAGCGGGGGCTTTCTCTCTAGTGTTGCATGTCGGAATTTCACTATTTTTTTGGGTGAATCCTGTGAGAAAGCACCCAAATCAAATTTAGGAATTTCATCATCTCCCAAATTAGTAGTTTTTATAGGGCTTTTCCTCGGAGTTCCTTTCTTCTTCATCGAAAGGGAAAGACTTGTTGATGAACTAAGGATTTCGTTCGAATAATGTCTCTCAACCCTAGAATCCTGAGAGAGAAATCAGGAATTTTGAGAGAGAAAATGGAAAAGCTTTTGAAAAATTATGGAAGTAAACCGTAAATGGAGGGAGAGATGTTCAGAAGCGTGGGGGGTGTGGGTTAAGAAACGTTGGGAGAGTGGGATAGTAACGTTAGATATAGTATAGCGTGAAAAACGGGATTAATTGATATCTCAATTAATTTTTAAAATATATATAATTGGTAAATTGTATATGCCCGTGTAATTAAGTTGAAACTTGAGCAGGGAGGGTAAAAAGGTTTCATATAGTGTATAGCTCGGTAAAAATCCCATAAAAAAGGCGCATGATATTTTGTTTGGGCCAACTGCTTCAACCCAAACGGCCCAACTATAATTAGCCCAACTACGCTCGTAATGGCCCATCCCAGTTATTAGGGCCTGTATCAACATTCTAGCTTGTTCTACAAGAAATATATACTGTACTCTTAACATCTAAAAAACAATTCTTCCCCATTTTCCAAATTGCAGTTTAACAATGGCGTTGGAAGCGTATACATCACAACTCACAGACAAAATACACACTGATGTTCTCACCAAAGCTCGAATCTCTTGCTACAAGGTACACTTGTTTTCTCTATTTAAATAGTTTTAAGTTTTATGCGAAACAATTTTTTACACTATCATGTTAGTTAGTTAGTTGTAAGGTGATTATAGGGAAATCCTTTGATAAACATTACTCCTAAGTTGTAAGATTGTAAATGTAGTAACTAACCTGCTATATAAAATAATACTGATCACCACTGTATATAATAAACCCTTTTTAAAATGTGTTAAATTATATACTCATCTTAAAAAAATTATGTGTGTGTGTGTGTGTGTGTGTGTGTGTGTGATTACGGGCTGAAAGCACTGTGTTCGGTTGTACCAGCTGTAGTATTATTTTTTTATTTCAATGTTCGTAGGAATTGTGATCAATATTGATAAAATGCATAGATTATATTCACATTTTAAAGAACTAATGTGTGTGTGTGTGTCTGTGTGTGATTACGAGCTGAAATCACAGTGTTCGGTTGGACAATTGTAGTGATTTTGTGTTTTACTTTAATGTTCGTATGAATTGTGATCAACATTGATAAAGCTAATAAGGGGGAAATGAATTTGTGGTATTGAAGGCGAGAGATGCATTTTATTCATGCCTGGAGAAAGAATCGAACAAGAAGCCCACTGAAATCGGGACTGTAGGGCTGTTATACCCAACTGATTGCAAGAAAACTAGGCAGGATTATGTGAAGCAATGCCGACCCACTTGGGTGAGTTTTTTCCTTTTAATCTCTGTAAGGTTTAAGAATATTGAGATAGATATAATTGATTGTGTTTTTGAATGAAATAGATGGATACAATTGATTCACATAGGGTGTGTTTGGTTGTAAAGAATTCATTTTCCAGGAAAATCTTTCTCATGAGGAAGTTATTTTCTAGAAGTTATATCCCAAGGAAAAACATTTTCCGATACTTCCCATACGTATGGGCATAAGTCATTTTCCATACATAATCTTCAGTTTTACGTTATTATTAATCTTTAGAATTTGATAATTTCATCAAAACATTCTCCAATTTGCTAATGTTATTGATAATCTTTAGCATGTATTCTTTTCATTCCCAACCAAACCTCGGGAAATATTTTCCAAGAAAAATGAATTCTGTCAAACCAAATACTAACCCAACTACTTTGGGATTGAGGCGTAACGGAGTGATTGATTGAATTGGTGGGTTTTAGTTTTCTGGAGAATTTCATTTGAATATTGAGAAAGCTGATAGGCAATACTTATATCTTCATAAAATTGCAGTGAAATAAAGGAAGGAAAGAGTTTGTAATTGGTTGAAAGGAAAATAATAAAGAACTCAGTTTCTTTCATTTTTTAAATAGCTTTTCAGTCTACCAAACTGAGAAGCATGTTAACTTTCTGGGAATACCCTGCTATTTTCGGTTTATTAATTGATATGTTTTTCTTATGATAGGTGAAGCATTTTGATAGGCAGTACTGCGCTAAGAAGAAAGTTCAGAGGCTTTTGGATGATAATGAGTCAAGGAGAGGTCCGTTGTCTCTTCCACAGCCTTATACTTTCAAACCCCCTCGTTCCTGTTGATAACAAATTTGTGGCTATCTTGGATATATAGGCAAGTGGTTTCATGATGTCGGTCTCTGGTAAATTTTGTGGTTGTACTGCGATGGGGAACTTTCAATTGCCCCATGAGTAGTTGTAACTTGTAATAAGTAAAATTGGTAGGCGAGGAGGAAATGAACTGTGTATATGTTGTGTACAAAAGCAATCACATACTTGCATTTGTATGGCTGCCATCTTATCGCTGTTGCTTTTACCCATTAAGTTTTCATGTGAATAATTGGTAGCAAGTCTTCATTAGTGAAACTTCGTACTTTATTGGATTTTATTTGTCTCTCTTCAGTTCTTTCGAGGAGGGACTAAAGATTGTTCCGGAAAGGTTCGAAGTAATTTCGCCTCATTGGCTTGGCTTGAACTATTCTCGCAGGGGTGTAATGCTTGGCCCCTAAGGAAGTGACAAGTGAATGATTTAATCATTTATCATGTTAAATTTGTTGGATGATTCTTGTTTTGAACGTTGATAAACTTCCAAGCAAGAGCAAGAGTATTAGATGTGTGCCGAATCCCTAGAGATCGGCCATTTGAGGAGCCTGCTTCTTTTCATATTGGTTGCTAGTTTGAACTCAAGTTAAGAAGATGCGGAGAATGTATTTTAACTCGCAAATGTGAAAGTTGACATAGTTTGATGCCGTGTTTTGCTTGCAGAGCAGGCGTTCTACCAAGATAGATTAGTTCATGTGAAGTATTTTTCTGCTTCTCATGTGTGTAGTTGCAATATTATGTCCTTTCCTTGTGGTTAAATTCGGATGCTCTGTGTTTTTAGGTTAACATTTCTGCTCATCTTCTTTGAAACAAGAGCTCCTTTTCTGCGTCTTTGAACTTCTGTCTGTTGCTTTTGTATGTTCTTTTTGCTTCATATAGTGTATCTTAAACTTGTGAAACTCCTGTAAACGTTCTATGAGCTGAATGTGATTGTGTATTACCCCTCGAATGTAGTGGGACAGAAAGTGGAAGCCGTTGAGCTTACACTTTCACGCCTCTGACATTAACCACTCTTGTTTTCCACTACAACCCCTTTCAAGGAGTGCTATGACCTTGAGATGATCACGAAGATCTGTCTTTTCTAGTGTTTATATCCTAAAAAAATATAGGAATGAGTTCTGTTAATATCGGTTTTCCCTTTATGAAATATTGCAGAAAATACTTATAAAAATGAAGGCCGGGAAAAATTGATGTATCTAGTCCTTTGTTAAATGGTCTTGGCATGTTACTGGCTGCTAGCTAAATTTTCCTTGTGGTTCATAGCGTTAAATAAGTTTTGGACCTTCCTGCATCCTTATGCTGGAAAGCCAGCATGGTCTTTCAATAGGTTAGTGTTTGGGATTGAGATCTTCATGGGCTGAACTTTTCTATGTTTTGTGATTTCATTCTATTAGCTGAGGGTCTATCAGAAACAGCCTCTCTGCCCGTCCAGGGTAGGGTAAGGTTGTGTACATCTCACCCTCCCCATACCCCACTTGTGGGAATACACTGGGTCGTTGTTGTTGTTGTTGTTGTTGTTGTTGTGATTTCATTCTAGTTCGCACCTTGGACAGGGGTGTATTTAAAATCACTACAGGTAGCCTGTCGAGTTTGTCTAACTATACTAATCTCTTTGCTCGGTGTTGACTGATTTTTGATTGTGAGAAAACTAAACAGAGTGGATTGACTGTCTCAAGAACATAATTTGAAGTTGTAAGTTGGATGGCAGAAGTAATATTCTCCATGGGTGTTAAACATGTTTGGGTTATTTGTCAAATCTCATATTCATTAAGTCCTATCTCAAATCTGTTTAGATTTAGATTCTATTTGGAGCGTTTAATGTGAATTAAGCTCTGCTAAACATTCTTTTCTGTGGAAAAACTCTTCTCTCATCTATCTTGTAATACCTTTAGTGAGCCACTGTGTTCTTAATTCTACAATCCATTACTACAGCAACTTCTCCCAAGACAGCGAAGAACTCTTCCTTGAGTTTACGATTTTAAGTCATCTCACACTGACTAAATTCCTTTTGGTCATTGCTCCATCTCGTTCCCATTTATTTTTACACTATTTATTGCAACTATCAGAACAGCTTCTTTTGTTTGCTTTGGTATATGATATTGTAGTAGTGAAAGTTATAATTGGTGGATGTTTTAAGGTGGATATATAAGATGATAGTCTTCTAATGGTCAAGAGCCATTGTATTTCTTCACTTGTAATAGTCTTTTATGTTAGTGTTGCCATACCTCCATAGTGAACAAAAGGACAATACTATCCTCTGCGGAGCATACAACAACAACCTAGTAAAATCTCACAAGTGGGTAGTGTGTATGCAGACCTTACCCCTACCCGGGGATAGAGAGGTTGTTTCTGATAGATCCTCGGCACAAGAAGACGAAAATAGATAATAGATCAGTAACCCTCTGTGGAGCATATGAAGGGAATTTATGTACTTTTAAGAGAGTTACATTATGGCTATGTGGTTTGTTGAAGCAGATGCTGCACTTCAACAGATTTTAAAATTTTACTTTGAGGACCAGAAACTGCTAGAAGGATTTGGTATGCCTAGCTAGTTCTAGAGGAATTTCAGATGCTCATGCATTAAAGATAAAAGCCATTAAACCAAACTCAGTTAGTTCTGTTCTTTAGTTTCCTTACTTTACTGTTTATTTATGAACTGTGCATTTTGTTATTGTTTCTCTGTGTAGTTCAGAACTTACCGAGGACATGACCCTTGATAGGAAGGTGTGAAGGTCGAGAATTAGGATAGAAAGTTAGCAGGTAATCGTGTGTTTCCCTATCTAAACAAGTACTACTAGGGTTAGTCTTGTACTTTCCTATTTTTCGTGAGTTTCTATTACTGCATGTTGTTTCTTCCGCTTTGTTTTGACTTGTTGTTTTGCTGATGTTATGATTTGTTGCTACTGCTTCTCTTTGCATCTTTCCTTGTGTCGAGGGTCTATCGGAAATAGCCTCTCTGTCTTTTTAAGGTAGGGGTAAGGTTTGCGTGCACACTACCCTCTCCGGACCCCACTCGTGGAATTACACTGGGTTTTTTATTGTTGTTCTCTCTGTAGCTCACATAGTTTTATGAAATTAGGAGTGAAATTTACTTCAGTAAGCATTAGAATTGTTGAAAGAACCAGCTAAAGCAGTCGCCGAAATTCAGGGATCTGAGAATAGAACCCCGATGAGAGAGAGGTAGGTTCCAGCAATAAAAAGAGTGAATAACCAAAGAATACATCAAATTTTAGGGGATTTTAGCTTGTAGCTTAAAAACCTAAGAGAGCTAAAGAATCTTGAAATACTAAGTGACTACCCCTATGTACTCAGATGATTTTAGCTTGACAAAGAATTGTTGCATGCTTTTACAACTCTAAATTTAGATGTAATACAAGAAGGAATACAGAGAGAACCAAAATGTATGGTTGGCTTGGGTTTTAATCAAAATCAAGTACAGTATTCAAGAGAGGAGTACTGTCTCCATTTTAAGGTGTCCAACTGGTTCAACACCTCTATAGTATATATTATGAATAAGTGTTTACTATAGTTCAATTTAGTAACCACACTATCATCCCACTGGTTATTTTAATAAAGTAGGAGAACCAATCATGTCTTTTCTCTCCCATTTTTCTGGAGTTATTAACCATAGTTGTAACAAATGAAGATGATTTACTCAGTACTCTATCGACTTCCCACACTTAACATGACAACATCATCAATCTCTACCTGGTGTTTCGGTTTCTCATTCTTATTCCTAGTCTTATTTCTTTCGCTTTGGTTGATCTACTATCATTTTATTGCTTATTGCTTATTGCTTGTTGTTATTGCTATTGCTTCTTTTTCACTTTTCTTGAGCTGAAGGTCTATTGGAAACAACCTCTCTACCCTCACAAGTAGAGGTAGGAGTAAGGTCTGCGTACGCTCTACTCTTCCCAAACTCCACTTTTAAGATTACACTTGGTCTTTTTTTTTTTTTTTTTTTTTTTTGGTTGTTGTTGTTGTTGTTGTTACCCTGTGTTTTTCCTACTTTAAACAGTAAACTCAGTTCAAAACCATGACTGTTAGATCCTCTTTAGTTGCTTACGATAAACATGGTAAAGAAAAGAGAGGAAAAATAGTTTTAACAACTGCATATTTATATGCAGTTTTTGGTTTAATGCGTCTTAAACTATATGCTTCTGCTTAATTTTTTGCTCCAAGATTGTTTCTTTAACATATTCGTGTTCTTTTGATTGTCGTAACATTTGTGATTTATGGTGAACGATAATTGAGTTTGAAGGTAGATAATGAGACTGAATTCAATTATGATTTTGGAAGGGCATCCATTATTATAGTTGTGACATTATTGTATATTCAGAATACATTAGTTTTTACTAGTTCCTGCAATTGGCAATTGCTAAATGCAGCGCAGTGTGCCTTATTTGCCCAGTTTGTTTTAATGTTTGGATTGCATACTTGTTCTTTAACTTTATGTGTGTAAGCTATTTTCTTTACAATTTAACTTTTAATTTCATATTAATATTAGTATTAATCCTTACTACTGTATATGTTGTTTTTTTGAGAGCTATTTTTCATTCACCAACCAAATATCTTAATCATACCAAACACATAATAGTTTTATTTTGTACTAATACATTCCTTAATACCTTATCCCCATGGGGTACAAAGACTAATATCATGTTTGGCTAAGCTTTTAAAATTTGTTTATTTTGAGAAGTGCTTTTCAAAAAAGTAATTTTGTTAAGAAGTAACTTGTGTTTGACTAATTAATTTTATAAGTACTTTTGACAGCAATTAGTGTTTGGCCAAGCTTTTGAAAAGTGCTAATAGTCTGTTTGGTCAAGCTACAAAAATTAACTTATTTTGAGAAATATTTTTTCTCAAAAGTACTTGTAAGAAGTAGTTTGTGGTTGACTAGTTAATTTGAAAATCACCTCCGAGTAGCAATTAGTATTTGGCCAAGTTTTTAAAAACTGCCTCTAAGTATATTTTTTTCAAAAATACTTTCAAAAAAGTGATTTTGGAGGGAAACTACTTTTTTTTTTTTGCATTCTCCAAAATTGCTTCTGCTCCTATTGAAAAGTATTTTTTTTCCTTCTAAAAACTTGGCGAAACACTTCAACTTTGAAAAACAAAAAAATATTTTTGGCTTTGGAGAAGCATGGCCAAACAAGCTATAAGTGTATTTTTCTCAAAAATACTTTTCAAAAAAATACTTTTAGGGTGAAGTTACTTATTGCTGCTCCTCGAAAAATGCTTCTGCTTCTACGTAAATGCATTTTGTTTATTATTTTGAAAA